TGCCACTTGGGTCCTCACTCATTTCAGCTTCCTGCTGCTCTGGAGCGCAGTCCTTATCATGTACCCCACCAGCCTGGCTGTCATCTCCATGACCTTCTCCAACTACATATTGCAGCCCGTGTTCCCCAACTGCATCCCCCCTGCCGCAGCCTCCCGTGTGCTCTCCATGGCCTGCCTGAGTGAGTGCCCACCATGAGGCGGGGTGGGGTCTCTGCTGGGGAGGAGGGAGGACTCCTCCAGCTGCCAGACCCCTGGAGAGGGAGAGGCACTCTGGCTGCTGCAGGGTATGCCACCCTCCTGCAGCTCAGGCTGGACTTGGCAATGGCCCACAACGAGGGTCTCGGCCTCAGGCGTCCACCCGCCCCCTTGCCTTTCCTCCCCAGTGCTCCTGACATGGGTGAACAGCTCCAGCGTGCGCTGGGCCACACGCATCCAGGACATCTTCACCGGCGGGAAGCTGCTGGCCCTGTCGCTCATCATTGGCATGGGCTTTGTCCAGATCTTCCAAGGTAGGGCCAGGGTGGGCCTGTGCCCAGGGCTGGAGAGAGGAAACTGACCCTTGACCTCTGGACCCCCAGGACACTTCGAGGAGCTGAGGCCCAGCAATGCCTTCGACTTCTGGATGACACCCTCCGTGGGTCACCTGGCCCTGGCCTTCCTGCAGGGCTCCTTTGCCTTCAGCGGCTGGAACTTCCTCAATTATGTCACCGAGGAGCTAGTTGACCCTCGAAAGTGAGTGCACCCGGCTGGGCCTTGGGAAGGGGTGCGGCCCGGCGATGGGAGAGGCAGCCTCCCTGACAGACCTGCTGCCGCCTGTGACGTGGTCTGGTTATCTGCCTGCCCATGCCACTGCCCCACAGGAATGGCTCTAGATAGCCGGGGCGCTTGTGTTCCAGCCTGGCCCTGTATGGCTGTGGGCAAGTCACAGCCCTTTGCTGGGCCTCAGAAACCCTGAATATCACTGTTCCGCTCTAAATGGATCCAGCTATTTGCATTTGGCCAAAAATTATACATGTGCACACAACATGGTCCCTGCAGATGAAGCCAGTGGCTCCATCTGATGCTCAGCCAGGGACCCCATAGTGAGCAGTCCCAGCAGCGGCTGGGCTGATAGGGAGTCCCAGGGGCACCCGGGGCCCGTGGACTGAGCTCTCAGGGCCCTGCTGGGATTTTCAAGGCTGATTTTGGTTGCATGCAATTTTCTCTTTATGTGCAGACATTAGACTCACCCCTTAGGACAGGTCCTAGGATATGCTGTGGCCCCTCCCCATCTGCCTTCCTCCCACCAGCCTGTGCCCAAGCTGGGTTTAGGGAGTTGAGGGGGTGTGAGACAGAGAGCAGTGCTGCCCCCTTCCCTGCCCTCAAGGCCCCCAGTAGACGCAGGCGATGGACACAAAGCTGTTCCTGTTGCTGGATCCCCTGGTCCCGCTCCTCACCCCTAGAACCCACCCCAGCCCCCAGAGGGCAGGCACTGATGTACCCTCACCACTGCCCCAGGAACCTACCTCGAGCCATCTTCATCTCCATCCCGCTGGTCACCTTTGTGTACACCTTCACCAACATCGCCTACTTCACCGCCATGTCCCCCCAGGAGCTGCTGGCCTCTAACGCAGTGGCCGTGGTGAGTGGGGCCCCACTCGGTCCCCAGCCCTGCCCTGCCCCCACCCAGCCTCATGCACTGCCTCTCTCCTGTGCTCACTCAGACCTTCGGGGAGAAGCTGCTGGGCTATTTTTCTTGGGTCATGCCCGTCTCCGTGGCACTTTCCACTTTCGGAGGGATCAATGGCTACCTGTTCACCTCCTCCAGGTGACTGGACTGGGGAAAGGGTGGCCCCGGTGAGGCAAGGTAGGTGCCCTGGCATGCAAGCAGTGCTAGGGCCCAAAAGACAAGAAATCCTGCCAGGTGGGGCCCTCCTGAAGCTGGGACAATGAACTCCCCATGAACAAATGTCTGATCCCAACTCAGGAACAAAAAGCAAGAGGGAGGCAGGCAAGAGGCGGGGAAGAACTGCCCAGTGGACTACTGGGGCCTAGAGCAAGGGGTCAGAGGTCACAACAAGAAGGATATCAGGTCTAGAGCGGAGATCCAGGATCTGGCCGGAGGGAAGGGCCAAGGCCGGCTCACAGCCCCCTCCCATCTCTATCCCCCAGGCTGTGCTTCTCTGGAGCCCGAGAAGGGCACCTGCCCAGCCTACTGGCCATGATCCACGTCAGACGCTGCACCCCTATACCCGCCCTCCTTGTCTGCGTAAGTTGGTTGACCCAGGCTGGTAGGGCAGGAAACCCAAGCCACCAGCAATGTGGGCAGTAGCAGGGATGAGCTCTGGCCCCCGGTGGGCAGCCCACGGAGGGAGTGGGGAGGGCCAGGGCTCACTGACCTCCTGACCTGAGCCCGCAGCCCCAGGACAGCCTGCAGGGCTGACAGGAGGCAGGTGGGAGGCCAGCCCTCAGCTCGGTCCTCTCCCAGTACGGGGCCACGGCGGTTATCTTGCTTGTGGGAGACACGTACACGCTCATCAACTACGTGTCCTTCATCAACTACCTCTGCTACGGCGTCACCATCCTGGGCCTGCTCGTTCTGCGCTGGAGACGGCCGGCGCTCCACAGGCCCATCAAGGTGAGAGCTTCACCCACTTGGGCATCAGTGGTGGGTGATGACGGCAATGGGGATTCCAGCTTTTGCCCCGTGCTAGGCCCTGCTCGGGGTTTTGTGTGCCCTGGCCTATTCAGTCCTCAGAACAACCCCATGAGGTGGGTGACGTGAACACTCGCTCATGGTTGCACAAGAGTTCATGAGCCCACAGCAAAACAAAAGACCCTAAACTGAGCTAAAAGAAAAGTCCCCCCGTTTGCAAATAAATCCTTGAGCTGGAGAAGGGTTCAGTGCCTGAAATGTGAGAGGCCAAAAAAGATTTGACCTGCAACCAAGTGCAAGCCTCAAGTCCACATACGGTCACTGTAGAGCTTGGACCTGCTGACCCTGACAAATCCTTAACAATCTGGCCAACTGGCCATCCATGAATGGGCTTCCAGCATTTTGGGTTGCTGCCAGAAGGGGACCAGCCCCTCAGGGGTCAGCTCTCAGGAAAGGGTGGAAAGCACCAGAGCCCCCAAGGTGGTGGGGCAAGGGGAGGGGGGCCCCCACCATTGGTGCTCCGCTCGCTCACCACAGGTGAACCTCCTTGTCCCTGCTGCGTACTTGGTCTTCTGGGCATTC